TTGACCTATCCTAAAACTGATTTTTGCCTAACTCGATCGAATTGTCATTTTATGTTTTGTAGGTGTCATGCTATAAATCTAAAATCTACAATTACGGCTGTTGGTTGACATAGCATAAAGATTCGATTTTAAACTTTTCGCCGTTGCCGCCAACTACCTAGCCAGGTGTTTTACCCAAGAAGACGTTGTAAACAGAGTGACACACGTCCAACTTTTTACCTTATCCAAAAGGATTTTGTAGAAACTTCACACTATTAATAGTATTTTACTTGTTTTACATTTTATTCAAGAGACGACACATCTGTCATTCAAAAACTACAAAGGTATAGTTCGGCGATATACTCAATGTAAGGCCATTGTGAACCATGACTTTACACTGACAATGTTCGTAGTGCGTATGTTCGGCAGTGACCAGCGATATAATGTCATCCCGATCCGTTCTGATCACCAGATATCGCTTACCCAGCTACAATAAAGTTTGACTTATACTAAGCTACTTAGGCAAATTAACAAATTAGGGTCGGGGTAGGTAGACGAGCGCAGCGAACAAGCTCATCCAGGAACAACAGAAAGGTCCTTAGACATGAACTAATAAATTCACACACCGGGATACGACCGCTCTCCTTACACTGGGCTTTATTAGTAATTCTCATTTATTAGTACGGTATATCAGAGTCAAACCTAGGGGTAAAAGGTATGTCAATAATCAAACAACTTGTCACAATAGTAATTTGTATCAACCTACGGGATTTGAACAAATTTCCGGACACACCGGCCGACATTTGTTCGAGAGAGACCTGCGATTGTGGGGGGGCACACGAATTAGATGTGTTGAGTGTGTCCTCCACCGAAACGTACGCACTGCGTCCTCGTTCTGGTTACCGATAAAAACATTTCGTTCCTTTGGTTGGATTACACCAACAATATCAGACTTCTGAACTACAAAAGCATCACGAAAGACATAGACAAACTGTTTTAGTATAACCACAATGGAACTTCGTACACGAGAACTATCAATAACCCAAATAAGGATAAAAACAGATAGTAATTGCATACACTCTACCGTCCGGGCTAGAGTTGTGCGCTTGTTTGAATTCTCAAGCGAGTATGTCCTTGAACTTCGAGATAACACCACCTAACAGAGCCACGACTTATTCTACACTCCACCGCCATATCTCCCCCCAAAACGTTACTCCCTGGACCCATGTTAGACTGAGGTGGGGGGGTCTCAGAGGTCGGTCAGTATGCTTCGTTATCCCAGCCGTATTAAAAGTTAGTTCATCATGACTTCGGATGAGCTATTTAGTCCGAGTTGTGAGTTTGGACCCCGCAGCCAAGGAGTTTTACTGCTGATCCTTAAAATCAACAGAACCGTGGTTACACTTGTATTTTTTTAGCTGTATTGAATCTTGTGTTTGACGCTGTTTTTGAGGGGACATGCATTTTTTTTGAATAAACTGAGAACATTTTGGGAAGTGTTAAAAACAGGCATTAGTGTTTTTGGTGCTACTTTCCCAGAATTAATATCTGTACCTCTGGCTGTCTCCTCCTTTCCTTTCCCCCCTCTCCTTTTTTTTTGTAAGCGCCCATCCTTTTGACTCCGTATTTTATTCCTTATCATTCCCCCCCCCCCGCCCACCTCGTTCTTTATCTCTCTTTGAACATTAAGGTAACTTCACTGTAACTCACTTTGTCACAATTCATTTTGTTTCCTGGTTTCAAATATTATTATTATTATTATTATTGATATTTCAGACACGCAGTCGTCATGAGTTTGTGTATAAACTTTTCATTTAAATGTTGCCTTTGTTTCTTTTCACTCTTGTTAGAAAAATAAAGGTTTAGAATTGTTTAGGATATGTTGACTCCTTATTTCTCATAAAAAAATGCTTTAAAGGTCACCTATCCATCATGCTATTTTTAGGCAATAGCATAGGTCTCGGATATATAAAAATAAAAAACATGTCTATGAAGTGTTTTGCTCAAAATACCAAACAGATCACCCATTCTAGCGATGCCTCATATCCCTCTATTTCACTTCCTGTTTCAAAAGTGATGATTTGGGGTATAAAGCTTTAAAAAAAAAAAAAAAAGGAGGGGTCTGAGCTCATGCGGGACCCGGCAGCTACCGTCTAAACTAAATGCTGCCGTGATGAAACTCCATATCATGGATTATCAAGGATTATCTCTGAAACAGTATGGAGCTCAAAGGCTTTCTCTCTTGCCGGTTATACCACAAGGTGAGTTCCTTTTTACTTCCTGCTTCTTCACACACATGCTCTCCAGTACAGGTTAGCTCTGAGTGTTAGCGATGCTAATGTAAACACCGACCATATTACGTCCAAAACAGTCGGGCATTGTTTCTGATAGCAACGTTTCTGATTGGCCCGTGGGTCCACATTTCAGATATTACGTCATCTGACGCAAATCTGGATCAGCTCCGTTGTTGCTCCGTTTTTAGAGATCTGGGTACGGAGGAAAAGAGAGAGGGTTTTATTTTCTGACGCTGCGTGAGTTCCCTGACACACCGGGGACACATCTTTATGTATGAAAGACATCAAAAAGTGCATTTTGCATGATAGGTCCCCTTTAAAAAAATGTATAATTAAGGACATCAAACAAATGTATTTAATCATCACAGCATTTATTTGGAAAAGCTTTCACTGGAAAATGGCCGACACACAACAAACGTCACAATATTGAACAAATACACCATGTTTGCTTTGAGTTTTTAAGCAAGTTCATAGAAAGACACATCCACAATTACAGAATGTTAAAGGCTTAAAATACATGGAAAGAAAAACATTTCAGCCTCAATATCAAACATGCATATAAGCCAAATAAAAAAATCAGCTTTTCTTCACAGGGTTTTAGAAATACCCCATTATTGGCTGTTGTTCATTATAGGTATGTTTGCTGTTAGAGCACTTTTAATAAGCAAAATCATCTGTTTTGAGTTAAAAAAAAAAAATACAGGAAAAGTATCGAAAAATCCGCTGACAATGAAGCATTTAACTGGGATTTAATTTGCAAAAATGAGTCTTGATTTCCAATGAACTAGGCTTGTTCACAGTCGACAGTGAAATACATTATTGTGCATACTGACCAAAGCGTCTTTGTCTGGAAGAAGCTTTTTGCAAGTAAAAAAAAAAAGAAGATTTGATGGTTTTCATTTAAATGGCAATTGTACATCGGCGCAAAAACACTTCCATTCGGAGAAACACGCTGCAGCTTAAAACAGAAATGCAAAAATAAAACACAAATTTGCCAAAACATGTAAATGAAGAAACCTCTTCACCGCCAAACGCTGCATATGCAAATAAACATATGCTCCAAGAAGCTCAAAACACAACGGACACCAGGGACACTAAAGGTTGGTGAACGATTTTTCTAAATGCTGTGCACATGTTGGCAAGTTGGTAAAAATGTTTCTTAATTTGCATATTTTTCTGCATCGTTTTTCAAAGTGCGTTTTTCCTCAATGTGTTGGCCCGTTGTAGCGCTTATATTTCAGTAAGCCGACGTACCAATGTACCTTTTTATGAATGAAAAATCAAATGTTTTCTGTGCTTTGTTTGACACACTGTGCCTTTCTCCAAAAAAGTAAGACTAAACGCCCGTCATTTTGTCCGTGCTTCAGCTCGGTACCTTCAGCCTTTTTTCAATTGTTTGAAAGTTGTGCTCTACAGTGAAGTCTGCCTGAAAGAAAGGCACCGCTCAGCTCGTCGTTATCAAAAAGCATCTGTGGTGAGACAATGCCGTCCTGTATCAAAACAAAAGCCGCTTTCACACCAAGTACTTTGCCGTACTTAGTTCCCAGCACTTAGTACCCCCATGGAACTAAGAGCCGATCGCGTTCACACCGGAATAAGTTCCCTGAGGAAAGATTACGCAAATGAAGCCGCTGACGTCACTTCTTCTGCTTTGGGTTTACTGGCAGGCCGCAAACAACTTCACGGCGTATAGAGAGGCGAAGTCCCTCCCTTTCCGGTGGACCTCCATGGGACCTTATTTCGGAAAAATTATGTATTGAAGTCAATGGAGAGAGAAAGATTATCTTTCAATCCCGTTTGAATTGTGCCACGAATTACACATGATGTTTGCCAATTTAAAAGATAATTTTGCATGTAAAAAATAAAAGTTTTTGCCGTAAAACTGCGAAGTAACACTTTTGAAACCGCTCAATGAACTATATCTCTGATCTCGCATAACAACACACGTCACCAAGATGGCCGTCGCTACAGTCTTGCCAAAAAATCACTATCACCACAATGAAACACGTCCAGAAGAATATCATGCAAAGCTGCCTCCCTGCCTTCGATTCTGCCTGAACTGCCTGATCTTTTCAATGTTCAATGTTAACCATTTGTGCAGATAGCATGAAGTAGAAAAAGATCGCTGATGCTAATGTAGCGTTAGCGTTAGCATGTCTCCCCCGGGCTTAAACGGTGTATTATAGAATGATCACACCGGTGTGACAGTACTCTTCAAAGGGTTCACGAAATATGACTACTACTCTTACTGTTTAACATTTTGGGTTACTTAATGTTACTTCATGTTAAGGCTAATAAAAATGACAAGGCTGTAATGCTAACTAACATACTCACTTACGCGACTCTGGGATTTGTAGTCTTTCTAGTTGCGTATTTTTCATAGTCTTATATTTCAACAGTTTTAGGACAAACTGTGACTTTTTTTGACATGGAAATTATTTTTTAAGATTGACAAACATCACATGTGGAATTCATGGCACAATTCAAACGGGATCGAAAGATACGTTTTCTCTCCCCATTGACTTCAATACATAATTTTTCCGAAATAAGGTCCCATGGGCCGGAAGTAGATGGGCGGGACTTCGCCTCTCTATACTGCCACCCGAAGTCCCCGGCCGGAAGTCCCCGGAGTTGGGGACTGGCGTCAGTAGAAGCTGCTGGGACTCCCAATGTAAATCGCCAGAACGCCGACACCTCCTGATCACTAAACTCTGATCGCGCTCATGTTTTTTTTTGTGTTGCCATAAGTTATTGTAGTGTAAAAGTTCTCATGAACTAAGTTCTCTTTTTGGTGTGAACGTAAAATCTCAGGAACTATCAGAACTAAACGGGAAAAGTACTCCGGTGTGAAAGCGCCTAAAAGAGCATTTGTACATGAACACTACAAGAATGAAGACGATTTAACTACATCAACCGGCACACAATGTCCTTTTGAAAAATGTCCTTCAGCAAACGGACTCTAAATATACAGTTTTATGGCACAGAAGTGGCTCTTTGCTCGTGTTCACATTGTTCTCAGCCCCACTTTAGATGTTCCTCTATTCTCTCCTTCATACAAATGTAGAGGCCTGCATAAACTACTTTTGTGCAACGCTCCTCTAATGGCTAAACCGCAGGGGGTGCCATCTCTCCTTTTATATAGGAAGACAGAACTCGAGCGATGATTTCTAAACCCTCTGAATGTGTTGTTTCAAATGCTCGTCTTTCCTCTTCTTGTTTTGTGCATCGACTTTGACATTCAAATCGGAAAAGCTGGTTCAAGTTTCTGTGAAAGATAAAGCGATCACAGTCCTTCCGTGTGAGAGGAGAGGTAAAGCTTTGTGAAAACGTCTGGAAAACCTTTCCTGAGTCCATTCATATGGTTGAAATGGATTCAGCGCATTCAAAAATGATCGCGTGGCTTTTGTAAATCTGCATTTATGTAAAGCATCTGCAGTTTTGAATCTAGAAGATTGTAAATGTGTGCTTTGACTCTGGCAGTTCCCGTCATTAGCTCCCTCCAAATGTTTAGGTTGGGGCCTAATGTGTGCTTCTTTATATTACCTCTTTGCCTGCAAAATACATTTTCGTGCCAAGTTTGACTAAAAGCAGCTCGTGTTCTTCCAATAGTCTCGATCAAAACACATATTTCTCAGCAATCTCGAAACCCATCAGATATTGCTCTGAAGACACAAAGCCTCTTGGGGTAACTAGAGAGTGTCAACAACTGGTTTCCGTGCAAAAACGTCCTTTTCCAGGTGCTTTTCGTTACTTACTGTCCAATTGGCAACTTGAGACGTAAGAAGGAAGTTGCATTCAACAGACAATGACCATTACTGTACAAGTAGTCAAACTACAGTCCAATTTGAAGCTAAATCTTTGTCAGACGATAAGCGCTGGGTTGCAAGATTGCCTTTTTAGTCCAACACATTTAGCATATTTCCCTTCTTACATGAACTGTTAGCTTGTATTCGACCAAAGCTTGCTCTAACGTCACCGGTCATTACTTCTTGGAACACGTCCCACACCAAAATCTTGTCCCGTTGCAGATTCTGCATATGAATACTGAATTGACTCAATCTCTTTGTTACTCTCAGCCTCCCGTCGTATCTCAGACGGTGGTGACGGACAGCAGGGGGTTGTAGACCTTCTTCCCGTCCGCAGACCTGCTCCCGTGGGCCAGCAGCTCCTGAATAGTGATCCAGTTGTCCATGATCCTGCGACTCCTCTTCTTCATGCTTCTGCGGTGGCACAGTTCCAAAATGGTGGTGGGCTCTTGCTGCTGGGTCTCCCCTTGCTGACCTCCACCACCTCCTTGATCTCTATCACGCTCCTTCAAACAGTCCAATCGGCTCTGCATCATGAACTCCCGACGCCTCCTTTGCTCGCGGGCTTTCTGAAGCTGCTGTTTACGTTCTTCTTTGCTCCAGTAGCGCCCCATCTTCATCTCGCTCACGGCGTCGTCGTCAGTCGTCATGCCGCTGCGTTCCTCTCTGATCTTCATGGCGCGGGCCTTCAGGAGGCGATCCCTCACCGGACGCTTGGCCACGTAACGAGACCCGTCGCTGCGGATCTTCACCTTCCACTCCATGCGAGGCGAGGCAGGCGGCAGCGGGGGAGGGGGAGGGGACCAGGGCACCTGAGCGACGTCTTTACAGGTGCTTCCCAAACTCATCGGGCTGTCGTCGCCCCAGGTATCCATGAGTTGCTCGGAGGCGGAGGGCGACCGCAACTGCATGCAGCTCAGGTAGTGCTGCTGGGGCTTGGTGTCACGGCGGGATAGGTAGGGGCTGTTTTCAGCGCTGTATCCTCCAGACCTCTCACCTGTGGGTTTGAGATTACGTTTGACTTCTCCATCTGAGCCCCGTCTGGTTCCTCGATCCCGGGACAAAGACCCGACCTTAACTCCTGGGCTGGATGTCTTAGCGTCGGCTCGCTTCCTGTGAGAGTGCGGGGAGTACGTTTGGTTCAGGTTTGCTTGAGTCTTGTCGCCCCTCGTCCCCCTCTCTTTGTGCCTTGCAGAGGCTGGAAGAGGCCCACCTGTCGCAGGGACAAGAGGCTCTCCTCCCTCCAGACTCTGAGTGGAGGGTGACGGGTGTTGATCGTTGACCAGAGGAGTGCTCCTGCAGCTTTCCCCTCCGGTGTTGTAGGCGCTCGTGCTGTCCTTATCCGAGCGTTCCCTCTCTGGGAGCTCGTTAATGTCCGACAGCGCGTGGTGGCACGGCTCCTCGTCGACCAAACTCCCGTCCAACCGTCCGGCTCCGAGTCCACTCGCTCCGTTCTTCTCCTCTTGCGGCCACGCCTTCATGCAGCGCTCCCTCAGCTGCTGCATCTTCTGCGCCCTCAGGATGTTACGACACTTGAACTCCAGGTGGCGCAGCTCCTCTTCCAGGAGGGCCATCTCGTGCTGCGTCAGGCTCTCGTTCCTGTTCACATCCAGCGAGACCCCACCGCCTCCTTCGCCTTCTTCTTGTTCGAGCCCCTGACCCTCCAGAAGCATCAGAGCATTGCTGTTCTTCTCGTAGTAACACTTGATCTCCAGGAGCTCCTTGTAACGCTCGCACTCCTCCTCGGTGAGCCCGGGCATCATCATCCTCACGGGATCGGCCGCATAAGTCCGCTCCACGTGCTCGAATCCTCCACAGTCCAGTCCTAAGAGGGAGTCTGTGCTGAACTGGAGGTCCTGGGAGTGCAACAAGGGTGGTGTATCCTCTCTTCCGGAGAGAAACTTCCGCATGCTGCCGGGGGTGTTGGTTGTGTTGGTGTTGGAGGCGCTGGTGTGATCGTCACCCAGGAGGTCGTGTTCTGAGGACTCCTCGTAGCGAGTGCTTTCGTCCGTTCGACCTACACCGCTGTCCAGCTCCTGGCTGTTGCTCAGCACCGCGTGCAGCAGATCAGGTGAGTCTCGGTTAAGAGAGCGATGGAGTAAACCTCCACCTGCAACACCGCCCAGAACGGAGGTCCTCGCTCTGCTGGGAAGGTGGTCAGCGTTGTCCACCGGCTCCAAGTCCAACTCGTCTGGATCCAGCTGGTTGTCGTTCTGGGAGTAATGGTGAAATGTGGTCGATGGCAGAAGGTGTAAAGTTGGAGAGACAAACAAAGGAAAAGTATTTAGTTAGACTTGTTGAAATGCTTATATGCGATGTCAAATCCAATGCATTTATTAATATAGGGCTTTTTCCAGTCTTTACAACTGGAGAAAGTGCTTTTACAAATACAAGTGACACAGACAGGCACAGGTGGCTGAACTTGGTCGAATGGCAGAAGGCGTAAAGTTGACCAGACAAATGACTAGTATTTTGTCAGACAACGTTTAACACGACTTGTGAAATAAACGCTTTTGTAATACATGCTGCTACTTCTGAATCAGAATACTTTATTTATCCAAGGGGAAATTGGTTTTCCTGCTCTATTTAAGAATGAAATATATTTAAAGAAGGTGCAATCAATATAAAAACATACAAATACTTATATAAAAAAAGATATGTACAAGCAACTATACACCATACAACCTTACTTCCTCACCATCTGAACTATCTCTCTGAAGTTGAATACAGCATTTCCTGAAACTGATGTGTAGCAGTTCCCTTTCCTGCCACTAGATGGAGGCAGTGCTGTGTGAGATTGTAATATCGGTTAAACACTGCTTTATTTTTTTTTCATTGATTTCCTTTGCAACTAGGAAAATATTGTTCCAAAAACAACCAAACATGAGCTACTCGATAGGAAGAAATTCAATTTTTCTGGAGAGATGCATAGATTTAATATTTATAAGGACTGTTATTCAGAGCTGCTACTGTTGCTGACTTACAGTTTTTCTCAATTGCTAATGCACTAAAATTATACAAAAATCACAATTATTTTAACTGACATATTTACTTCATTACTGTAATTGAATTGTTGGCATGTTGCATACTATAACTGTACACAAATCCTGCACAATGTACTGTGGTAGACTTACTTACATGCAACACAGACACTGACCAACCACTATGTCTTTGTTGTTTATCTGAAGGACTGAGAAACAAAGAGGTGCAGGTGGAAGGCTAAGGATGTTCAATGAGGCACAGGTAGCAGCAGTTACAAACTTGGTGTTTGGCAAACAATGCATTCACACTTAGAGAGATCCGAAGCGTAGTAACTAACTATGTGCTGAGATGCATGTTGCACAATGTGTATTTTTGAATAAAATATGATTT